ACCTAAAAGTGCTATAGACTTATATATATATATATATATATATATATTATATATACTTTATATATATTTTTATTACTTATTATTATCATATTCCCCCCATAGATGTGGTGCCCTCCAACACCGCCGCAAAATGATGACGACATCTATATCGATTATTCGTTGTCATTTATGTATGAAATGGAACCGATACCGGAAGCAGAATTACCCCCAATTTACGTTAAAAAGGATTACAAACGTTCACGTGGTGAAGCTGGTTTTTTGATGGACGGAAGTCGACGTCCAACTAAAATACGACGTGAGGAAATGCTTTGTGCACCTCGTTCGCTATTCGATCGTCCTTCTGCTGCCATAGCACGCATACGAAGAGATTTGAAGAATCAACGCTATCGTGGCATCTTCAAACCAAATGTTCAAATACCTGGACTGAAACCACAAATATCACAAAAACCGCTCACCGAACCTGAGAATATGGCGGAGTGGTCTATATTCGAGGATATGATCATTTTGCATGTTCTTGTCAACTTACAGGCCTTGCCATGCAATTTAATGCTTTTGTCACCGGGTCATACACCTAATTGGGATCTGGTGGCAGAAATAGTGAATAGCTTTTCGAAAACCTATCGTTCACCGAAACAGTGTCGTTGGCGTTATGAAGCTGTTATACAGCCACGTGAAGAAGGTAAACTCGTTGAAAGTCCGAAAAAACAAAAGAAACTTAAAGGCGCTATTAAATCCGAGTATCTAAAAGGATCTTTACGTTGTTTACGCACTACTCAGATGTATGCGAATGACAATAATACTTCGTTTTCTAAGATTATGCGCACTCGTTTTGAATGCATACGATCGGCTTATTTAAAGAAAGCACCACCGCCTAAAAGGCATTTTAGTACTCCCAGCCTTATGAATCCCAAGCATATGGAAGTTCTGCAAGAATTTGGTATAGTGAACTACGACCAACCGATACTGCCGCAAACTATTGCTATTATGCGTTCCAACAAAATAAGGGAAAAGCAGCGAGCTCAATGTCCTTCCTTACCACCTCCTACTACCCAAGCTCCTGCCTGCATAACAGGTGTATCACAGCAACCATGCGGAATTACTGTAAGTACTCCAATTAGTGTCGTACAGCACCAGGCCCAGCAATCGCAAACCCAGCAACAATTGCATGAATTGGTGCAACAACAGCAAGTTGCTGTTGCTCAGACGCCGATCTTACATAGTCAGCAATTGCAAATACAGCACATTACGCCATCAGGAGTACAACAGCAGCAGCAACAACAACAACAACACCAGCAGCAGCAGCCTACGGCAACAGCAATTGTTTTGCAGCATGCTGTTGGATCCAATGTGCAGCAGTCACACAATACATCAGCTGGAATCGTTCAGCAAAGCACTCAACAGCACTTGATGAGCCGCCACCCTACATCTGCTACCCAAATAGTTAAAGCTATCGTTTCGCCACAAAGTAGCCTATTAACTTCTGGGCAAGTACAACAACTGCAACATCAAACTACTAATACAAGCACAACTGGACAATCTCAGCACATTCAATTGCAACAGCAACAATCTTCTGGGAATCTGGCTGCACCAGCATCGGTGTCTGTTGTTTTAACTACCCCAGTACAAACTATATCATCTAATGTACAGCAACAACAGCATCACAATTCAATCCAAAGCAATTCCTCTGCAGCACAAATTGTTTCTTTATCCCCACAGCAGACTATCGTTTCAAGTTCACCCCAAGTGGGTAGTATAGTGCAAACTCAAGCTCTTCCGCAAGTTGTTTCGGTATCCCAGCTGGCGACTGTAGGCACAGTGCTCACAACCTCCAGCAGTTTGGGTCAACCGACAGGCACTGTTACAACTTTAAATACTTCAGCCTTGCGAGCCCAACGCATAGTTGCTGCTCCTACTGGAACCACTTTGCAAGACGTGGTTCTTCAGCAAAGGTCTGCTGGCAATCCCAGCCCAACAATTGTTTCGATGTCTAGCCTAGGGTCTAACGTCACCCAAGCTCAATTCCAAGCAGCTCAACTGCAATTAGCTTCTATGCCAGCTGGAGCGCAGCAAGTGGTAACGAAATTACGAGTCGGTTCTCTGCAGCAAGGAGGTAAAATAACTACAACCAGTCCAGGTAACACTCCAACGGGACAACAGCCTACTCATATACAACTTTACAGACAACGACAGCAATTAAAAGTTTTGCAAGCCGCGACTACTGGACAGGCAGGCCAGCAAACAGTTGTGCAAACAGCTTCTGGACAAACTGCGTTAGTTAATGCCAGTGGAACTATTATACAAGGTAGCATTGTGCCAACAAATTCCGGTTCTAGCACAGTGCAAGTAGTGCAGCAGGGACAAAAAGTAGCCGTGGCAACATCAAATGTGTCCATAGCAGCACCAAATGGAAGTAGCGGTGGAAGTGGTGTGACAACGGTCGCCGCCGGTCAAGTGCATAGTCAACAATCTCAGCAAAGTCGTGCTCAATTCATTAAACAAGTAAACGCTGTAACTGGCAAACAAACGATAGCCCGCCAAGTTGGTGATACGGATATGCTACTGGTAAAAAGACAAGTGACAAATTCTGCCGTGCATCAAAAAGCAGCCCAAATGTTGCAACAAGGCCAAATTTTTACTACCACATCAACGGGAGGAATGCAAATACAGCAAACAGCCACAACAGCAGGTGTAGTTGCGGGCACAACTTTAGTGCAACAACAACAGCAAACCATACAAAATCAAGGGCAAAAGCAACAAATGGTACAGCAGGTTACACCTCAACAAATTGCTACTTTAGTTAAAACGTCAGCTGTCACCTCCGCAGGAGTTGGCGTAACTCCTGGCAACAGCGGAGCCGGACAGGCTCAAAGTACTGTAAATATGGCTTTATCGCAATTAAAACCCGGTGGACAAATTAAAGTAACCATGGCTAATCAATCACAAATGCGTCAATTACATATGCAACAACATTTAGGCATGCCTCGTAAAATATCACGAATGACACAGATAGCCGCTGCTACCGGTGGCAGTGCAGCTGTCAGTGTTATAGCTACTCAGCAATCTCAGCAAAACCAAGGCACTACAATAACGCAAACAAGCAACGTGCAGCAGCAACAACAAATTACCACTACGGTAGCGCAAAAAACGTCGGGAACGAACACAGGATCAGTTGGTAACAGTAGTGGCGTTCAAACGCAATTAGTGCATATACAAAATACGAAATCTTTACCCAGTTCTGTGACCGTTCAACAAATACAACAAGTAATGCGCCAAGGACAGCCCGGATTTCGCGTAATACCAGTGTCCATGGCATCGCAGCCCAATCAGCGCCAGGCTATACAAGTAAGAAATGAAAATCGTTTTAAATTTTTTATGTAAGACATTGTTTTTTTTATTTAATGGAAAGTTGTTGGATGTTCCTCGTAGTACTTGTTTGGTGTTGCTATAGTTTACCCAAACGTAATGGCAAACCCTTGCTAGGGTAAACCGTTGCAAAAATAACCTCAGTAATTTCTTCGTTGTAGCTTTCTTCATTCCTTATAACGATGAAATTATAGGTTAATAAATGCTGCTAAGTACAATTACTGAGGCTTTAATGATTGAATTAAATAAATTGCTCTCTTTCGCGAAGTCACTTACATTTCCTTGTACTTCATATTTTCTCGTTACGGAAAATAATCGTCTTTGGCAAGAGACCAATAAAGTGCACCATGTTTGTCGAATATAATCGGCTTTATACATATAAGATGAAATTATGAAACTAGTCTTTAACGATTATTTACTAAAGTGAAGATAGTGTCCTCGCTAAAATGTCTTTGCTAAGTTACAATTTATCGCGAAATGAATAACAGTAAAGTAAAATAACTATTAAAATTAAATAATCTTAGCGAACATGCACATATAAAACATACTAAGTCGCTAATTACGAACGCAAAACAGAAAATGCTTAGGTATTGCTAGTAAAACTCATGCAAAAGTACGTTACAAATACTGAAAGAATGCAACGTTAAATTCGTGTTATAATCATTTTTAGACTACAGATTTTTGATATGTCGTGAAAAATGCTAAAACCTATCAGAAAAACCTAACTTAATTACCGTGGTATCGATCCATCACCTCGAAATTCGTCAAGAACCGGCTCTCTCCATATACCCAAAACACTAAATTAGTTATAAAAAATGTTTAAGAAATTGCCCTATCGCAGATTTTTGATGTGTCTTAAAGGACGCTAAAGACTATCATAAAAACCTAATTTCATTACCCTGTTGAGGGGACATCAACTCGAAATTCGCTTAAAACCAATTTTACCAATATAATTTTTACCCATATAAATAATGAGAAAGAAAAAGTGGGCAGTCAAGTGACTGCTAAGCGCACGCACAAACGCACACGAACATTTTTGCCATAGCATATATTCCATTAGCCTATAGAATGTTTTGAACAAAATTGTACGCGATTCACATTTAGAAAAATGACGACAACTCAATACCATACATATAACTTCTCAAGCAAGTGCATGGGACAAACGCGCTGTTATTGCAAGCAAATGCCCGTAATGTATAATCTTAAACATACATGCTGAAAAAAGACAAAAACATTATGCGTATAAAATCAAACAATTCATCAGCCAGTAAAACGAAAACATGTTAAGTTCGAACATTTCACTAGCAACATTTTGCCTTTACGGTCTTGTGTATACAAAGAGGACCGGTTTTTGGCGGATTTCGACGTGATGTTCCCTAACCAGGATAATGAAATTGGGGTTTTCTGATAGGTTTTAGCGTCCTTTAAGACATATCAAAAATCTGCGATAGGGGAATTTCTTAATTTTTTATGCACACTTTATATATTGCAACTTTTCGCCAACGCCACACATGTACTATATGGAAAATACAAGAAAAATTTTTTTTTTAGTTTCTTATACTATTTCTGTATAATTTCTTAATTCATTTATGCTTGTATTTCTATTTTTGTTTAGTTTTTCTAATGATTTTGTAGGGTTCAGTTATCAATTACCTTAGCAAAGGTGGTAAAGGTGGGAAGTTAACCCATAGTTTTGTCTTCGCTAAAATGTGGGCTAGCTACAGTGGGCTAACTTCTCATCAGTGATTATTTAAAAAAAAAACTTTTCTTTAATCAGCAACGTATGTTTAGTAGGCCTTGGTCTTCAAAAGGGTTGTTATTAAGCAAATTTATTTTTCTTGCAACTATTTTAAAAAGGTGGTCTCGGCTACTTCGGCTCAAGCTTTGGCTGCTGGCAATTTGCGTGCTCATATCGCTAGTGGGCAGAATATAGCCGGAACTATTAAGGTGACAACGGCAGGTGGTTCCCAATCTCAGACACAGCAAGCTATCATTACGGCTATACAACAGCAAGCAGCAGCGCAACAGAATCAACGACCAAGTGCTAGTCCAGTGAGATTACAGACCACCGTTAGTGGCAATCTGGTAGCTGTGGTGCAACAACAGAGTTTGCAGCAACAACAAACACAGCAACAGCAGTCCACACAGAATGTAGCGGTAAGCACTTCGAGCGGTGTAAATGCAAACATTAACACCTCTAATACTTCTCCCGCAGAGGTAATGACCATTACGCAAACCTCTACAGGAGCCGCAGTGAATAATGCGATTCCTCAGCCTTTGCAGACATCACAACAAGCTACGACCCAACAAGTGCGTACTTTGGTTAAAAAGAAAATCATGCAAATACGCAGTGAAAAGGAATAACAAAACAAGAAAGAAGGCAAATCAACATATAAAACATATGAAGAAAAAATATTGTTTCTCTCTATTTTATCTCTTTTTTATCAATTTTTTTCTTATCTTCCCTTTCTCTTTCTCACTTCCGATTCAAGTTACGCCACTGTTTCAACTTGCAACTTCTAAAAATTTGATTTTACTTTTAAAGACAAAAATATATTCAAGTATTAAGTTTTATTATATCATATTTAATTTAAAAAACTAAAAAAAAGCAGAAAATGTATCATTTCAAAGCGGCCTTTTTATTTTCTCAGTTATATTTATCACATCTGTACGAGTTAAATTCTTAAAATTAGGTTAATTACGTTAGCTTTTAATTTTAAATTCCCCGTCTCTATTTCTGTTCTCATAGCATGTGAAATATTCTTTACTTTATAATTTTATAAAATGTAAAAATATTATTATTATTGCATATAAATATACAGATTAATATTTAGAAAAACAAAAAAAAAATTCAAAACAACGGACAATTGATAAAGCTGTTTAATTTCTTGTCTTATCCAGCCGGGACATAACATATAAATCATTTTTAAAAATTTAAAAGATAAGAGAACTCATGGTCACTTGATAATAAAATTTGCAAAAGTTTTGATTTTCAAAATATGCTGCATAGTTATTATGAGGTGAAGAGAAAGTGTGTTAGTATAGGCTTTCGATTAGGCTTGAAGTTCGAAGCGCACTCTTACTCTTTGATGTTCTGCGCATAATAGAATGAAAGAGTAAATATTCGGAGTGTAGAACGATGAATTAAAGCGTCTAGTTTTTTTAAAGCGACGTAAAAGACACGTAAGTAGTTTTACTTGGAGACGCTCAACCTTGTACAGCGAAATGTCCAAATGTTCATGAGCGACGAAAGGGTTTACACCGCTTAAGTTCACCCAAAGTTGGAACGCAAATTACCTATGTGGGCGGGATTCTCCAAATTTTGCTTTGAGAGCAACTCGCGCTTTTCATTCATCTTGCGTGACCTTGGAAAAATCTACCAGTAGGGAATATATAATATTGCACCTCAAAGATCGCCTCGGACATTGTTTACTTTTATATTCCTGTGATTTGGGCTGTCAAAATGATTTTGCCTCCGTAAGAAAAGTTTTTCACATCATATTACATATTTAATGAAGGTGAAGAACTAAGCCTACGCAATCAGATTATTCGGTCAGTAGTACTTCAACGACGCCCTTGCAAATAGATTTATTTTTTGTGTTGCTGGATCTAATTTCTTAATTCTCTTTAAACACGATGCCGGAAGAAATTACCGTTTGAAAAAGACACCACTGAAATTAGCAAACCTTTTTCGACTTTCAAGCGGAGAATAGAAAAAGTCATATACTATGCGAAAAAAAAATTTTTTAGCACCAATTTTTCGTGTTAGATGTTATTTGTATCCTTGCAATAGAAGCTCTGGCCAAAGTAACTATTTTTTTGGATGGCTTCAACGATATTTCTTGACCATATTCTCCGCGGTTGCAACGCGTTTGCTAAGCCCCATCTACTTAGCATGGATATTTTTATTAAGGATATATGCTGTTATTTTTCTGGATATATTTTCGTTTCATGTCAGCTGTCTGACTAAACGAGAACCTTTTGCTAATTAACGGCGAAATTATTGAAACAAAAGATATCCAACCAATTATAACTTGCACCGTTTTTTAAAAATGGTTTGGGACGCACAATAAGTCCTCTGTTCGTCACAATTAGAATAAAAATTCTTGAGGGGGGCAACTAATTGAAAACAAGTAAAAACAATACAGTGGGTCTACTTATAAGCACCCTATACCATTTCGCTTAATATATTTATTCATATAACGTCTTTTCCCGATAATTTTTCCAAGCAATAGCGTCCTTTGGTCCAAACGCGTTGGTGTACCAACTTTCTTCAAAATTTCTCAAAAATTGCGGCTACAAGAAAACGCAATCACACGGACAGATAAAATTCGGAATAATCTTCTGAGTAAATTGGCATAATAGAAACTGGCTACACCTCAAGTCCTTCTGGGTGTTGTATACATCCGCACAAACTTAATATATCATCGCCATATAAATGGTGTAGGATGTAAAACTTGCCATAGCCTTCGTCCCATGAATCAACGTGTTTAGTTTTTTCATTAATAGCACTAACAGTGCATGCTATTTGCAGTAGTATAAACAAAGATTTTTACATACGGATGAGAATGGCGTGAGAATAACAACTTCTTTGAAAATTCGTTTAGAATTTTTCGTAAAAAAAAATTTTTGGATGACTTCTTGCCTGATTGAAGTTGTTTACTGGAAAACAACTTCGAATTTCATTCAGAAGCATACGTTTTCTAAGGCAAAGTTTTCACACCCTACGCCGCTTGTGTTCTAAAAGTGTATTAAGCTCTTGCGAATATGCGCAACATCCAGGAGGAGTTGAGGTTGCCCCATTTTTTTCATTCGACCGGTTTTCGAGTCGATCCATGCTTGTCTGTCAGTCTATCCGTCTTCTATTTTTGTCTTCGACATGTAAGTTGCAACTCTGCAGATATGTTGATAAGACTTGGTACACCAGCCTGTTTTGGTATAAGAACTAACGCTATTAAAATTTGACCTGATTTTACCCATTTTTTCGATCATTTCCCATATAAAATCTCATTTTGAAAAGTGATTACATGAATACCTGCAGGATTGTACAGGGCATTCAATGGTGCTATCGTGCTTCTATTGTTTTTAGCTCATTGCCACTTTATACAATATAGGAAATGTTTTCTGAATTGTTTCTTAGCAACCACAAATTAAAAACAAAGCATTTCAATTGAAATGAACAATTCGAAGAAGGTTGTAACAGAACAATAGCAGTAATGTCTTTGTTTAATGTTTGTACTTGGTGGTCCGCACAGTGTTCAGATTTGGGTGAAAATTATGATGTGGCAAGTTTATTGTGTGCTCGTTTTGGTTTAGAGGATCAAGAAAAGGATTACATTGTTATAGGAACGCATGCCGGCCATTTATCTATATACTATCCCAGTTACGAATTAGATGCTACTAGTAATACATATGGTTATAGAGCAACAGATCTGCTGCTGGAACAGCAGGGTAATTCGCCTATACTTGGGGTATACGCAGGCAGATTTACCGCGTAAGTTGCAAGACAAACCTTGGATGAAAGTAAGTTATAAATAGAAATCGATATTTTGTCTTTGTTTTCAAAGGAATAGCCGTAAAGAGAACGCTAATCAGTTAGCTGTTCTTCATCCTTATATGGTCGTCATTTATAGTGTACAGTTTATAGGTGGTGTAGCGGAACATGGCGCACAATTGTCTTTGCAGCAATTGCACGCCTATCGGTTCAATCGTACCGCTTTCGCTTTATGTAAAGGCTATTTTGGTAAAGTTAAAGGCCGCGAATTTTTCTGCGTTGTTCATTTGGACGGCGCTTTAACATTTTATGAACAGGATGGTATTAGTTATGAGTGTAAATTTCCCGGGCATCGAGCATTACCAACACCTATTGTCTACTGTGAGCGTACGGACAGTTTCTTTCGTTTAGCTTCTGCATGGAATTTAGAATGTTTCACGTAAGTTTCTTTATTTTTTTTTTTAATTTATTTAAAAATATAATAAAAAAAAGTTTTAAATAACCATTTTAGTTATCAAGATCTATCACATTCTTCTATTAATAAATCGCAATATCAGTCGACCTGGTCTATGTGTCTAGGTGAAGGTATTCTAGATATGAATGTTGTACAAGTCAAATCGTAAGTTAAATGGAAATTATTATAATTACTTACGAGTTCTACACACTAATAGTGACTTGGTTAAAGTTTTTAAATTTAAGTTTCAAAAATAGTTTCCATAAAGAATACAATACACTATTAATCAGCGAAAACTCCGAGCTTCGCCTAATACTGTCCTTTATTGATTGCCTTGACAAAATACTAAAAATTACATCTTGTTTCTATGTAACGGTACATTTTCGATGCGAGCACCAAAGGTGAACTGACTTGGTCCGAAGTTAAGAAATTTAATTTACGTCGTTGTCCGTCTGTCATAAATTTTAGGACTAATTTTGACGAAGTTTGGTGCACTGAGTCGTCTCTCACCAAGAACAAACGCCGCTAACCTTAAATTAAATACGAATATTTTTGTAATTAACGCATATAAAGCCGCTTTTGAAAAAACTGTTTTTAACAGTTGATATACACAAGAGTTTGACGTTTTTAATCTTGTCGGATACCCATATCCCGTCGCCAGGCTCTGTCTGCTTAAGTCTAACCTACTGCTAGCTATTAGCACCTGCTGTTACTTAAATCTAATTAAATTCCACGTCCCTTATCCAAATGAACTGTATCAGGGCTAAATGAACGCTAACCTTATAGATACTCCGCTTCTTGGCGGTGACTAATGTAGTGGTCTTTCTTCGGGGGATGGGAAAGACATTCATTGAACAATTAGTGCATTGTATTTACCCCTCTTTCAGTGTTGGAATGGTTTTTGATTGCAGAAATGAATCATAACCCTCTGCTCCGGGGTCATTAAATTGTTGGTCATACCGAGTAGCCAACTGCAATTCTGAGTTAAAAGGATTTAGTATCCGCGGACACAGTTGTTCACACCCATTCATAAAGCATCCTGTGCCTGTAGAACAATAGTGAGTAGAACGAGGACGGTTGGTGTCCGTGGAACAGGAGTGATTAGTTATTGGAAGGTTTTGTGTGGTGGTATTTTGTCATGATAATAAATGAGGAGTTGCAGTAAATGATTTGGTATAGGGCATTTAATTGCCGTTTCTCGATTCTATTTCAAGTTACTATTATACATCAATTTTCATGATAAAGTATTAAAAATTTGACTTTTTGTTATATGAAAGCTTCATTTTGTAGAAATGATTAAATGGGGAGGGACGCAAAAAGTCGCGCCATCCAATTCCAATTTTTCGTATCAGTTTGGTATGGGGAAATAAAACGCTAGTATCCAACGATATTTGACGAGAAATTTCAAAAACTTTTAAGCTATTTTATATAAAAGTCTTTTCAAATAGATTTTGTGTGGGAAGTGATTGGAGAAATGACTCGACATCTTCGGTAGGCTTCGTCAATATACTAACTATCGACAGGCTGGACCAAACCATTTATAAAATTATGTAAAAAATAATTCCAAAATTGTGACGTGTTGATTGCACACAAAACGTATAGAAAGATAACAGACGGGCATACAGACAAAAAATTAAATTGTTGCAGAAAAAGATTATTATGAATTGTATTACCACAAATGATGTAACGCATTTAATAGCAGCCCTTGCCTAACTTTTTTGGTTTACGTTTTTTTCTTGTCTCATTGCTTTAATCCAAAAACTTTTTATTTCTTGCCAGAGATCATGCCTCGCTTATGATTTTGGGCGAGAGAAATTTTTTATGCGTTACCGATGCTGGCAAATTGGAATTTATACTAAAATTGGAGTATGTGCCAAAATGTTTTTATTCATTTGTCGTCGGCTATTATTGGGGTAAAAAACCAAAAAAAAAGATATTTTTCTATCAATCTTTAAAATTGCATTTGAATTGATTTTTCAAGAACCCACAGCTCGCCTAATCACGATTATATTTTCCGCATCTTCTAAACTTTTCATATACGAAAAGGCCAATATTATATGGGCAGCCCATATCAAACATGAACCCCCGGTAGCTATACAACGTTCTAATTTAAGTGGTTTGACTGGAGCTTTGGTTACACTCGGACCATGCGGTCAGCTGCGTATTGGTTATCTGGGTACCGATCCGTACGTTTTTCAAGTGCCACCATTGAATGTTCAAGAACTAAGCTTTACAGAAGCTCAGAAAAAGCTTCAAGAACTCGAAGAAGAAATCAAAGAGGCAACTGATATTCAAAATGTGGAAATAATCAATCAGAAGGCGTACGAAGACATGAATATATCTTTCACAATCAACGCAGAAGTGAAAGCAGAAGCTGATTTATTATTGCTGGAGGATATACCAGTTAATGTCGCTTTAAAAGAGTTATCTGTTAGTACCGGTCAATTGAGATGGCATGCCAAGGAAGCTTTAAGCGAAATGCAAATAGTTTTTAACATGCCCGAAGGTATACGTTGTTCACAGGACACCGTAACGTATGTTAATGTGAAAGGCGATACCAGTGAAACAATGGAATTGGAATTTTTCATAGCAGAATTATTACATTTTCATACTAGCAAAGTTGAAGTTGTGGTGTCGTTCATAAGCATGAAGGTCAGTAAGCTTTGAAAGTCATTACGAGTTTAATTGGTACATCATTTTCTAAAATATCGAAATTTAGGGCGTCCCCCGAGTTATACAACAAGCTGCTTTCTTGCCACTGAATATGTTCTTCAAACTCAAACAACCGCAAAAGGCCGCTTCGATCAAACTAACATATATCATAAATTTAAAAGTCGAGGAAAGTCCCAAGTTGTGCGATTATTTCAGTGAATTCATTAGTTGGGAAAATGAATCGCAGAGTTTAGGTTTAGTGCTTCTAACGACTCTGGGTGAAAATGTGGAAGAGATTGTTACTATAGTGGCTGAAAAAAATTCAAATCGCTTAAGGTACTAATATATTTATTAAATTGAAAGGAAAATCAATTATACGCTTTCCAGATTAGAGTCGGATGTGTTGGAAGCTTTTCCTTTAGTATTGGAACGTCTCATTTACCAAACGTTAGAAGCACAAAAGCTAATTCTTGGCCCTAGGAAAGCGACGCTTAAAGGACAAATTAATCCAAATGCCGATTATATAACGGCTTCTGCATTCATTCCGGTTCAACCAATTTTGCATCGTATTGATATTCATCATGAAACACAAGAGAATATCAGAAAACAAACGGTACAGACAGCTGTTGTAGAAAGAGAGAGCGAGAGAGTGAGAGAGGGGGGAGAGACGGTGGGAAGGCGGGAAAGAGGGTGGAGAGGGGTTGATAGGGGGTGGGGCAGAGGGGAGAGAGAGGGAGAGAGACAGACAGACAGACAGAGAGAGAGAGAGAGAGAGAGAGAGAGAAAGAGACGAGAACTTAATTAGTATCAATCTTTTCCTTTCACCAACAGTTGGAGTTGGACGAATTGTGGCAGCGATTTAAAGAGTTGCAACGCAGGCTACAAGAAAAAGTTGAAGATGAACCAAAAGAGATTTTGGTGTTGCAAATTGAAGAGAACTACGATCACCTAATAGCTGAAGGTGACAGGCTAACGGAAATGCGTAAACATGAGTTGAAGTAAATTTTTGTGTGAAGGAAATTTAAAATTGAATTTGCCTAAAATATCATTTCCCCCTCTCTCTCTCTCTCTTTTTCTCCCTCTTTTTCGTTTCTGTAGGCAACGTTGCGACCTCACATGTGCTCTAACTGTGGCTAAACTTATTATAAGTAGTTTAAAATTGGAAGAGAAATTGGTTAATATAATATCATCGGTTCTAACGACACCATCTGAAGACTGGACCGAATTAGTATTATGAGTTATATGTAAATCTTAATTTCATTATTCAGAGTTAGTGTTCTTTTTTTTAGAGTTGGGAAGAATCTATGGCAGCTGGAATTGATATGTTGCATCATTACGGTCCGTTAAGTTCTACCAACACTAACAATCAGCATAGTATGATTGATTCCAATATTAATACGGAAAAATCATTCGATTATAAACGTTTTAGGCGAAATGTTGCTATTTTATTCGAACGCATTGTCAGGTTAGCTAGCAATGACCAGCATTTAGCTGAAGCCCAAATTATTGAGACAACGGTGCCTAAAAGCTCTAGAGCTGAAATTGTAGATCAGAGCACCGAAGATATGGCAAATATACATGAAATTTTAAACGTGCAACCGATGACATTAACGACGGCTCCCGTTAGACGTTTGAGGCCCTATCAGAGATCATGCACTTTGGAAGCAGTTGAAGACGATGACGAAGAAGAAGCCACAGAAGATGAAGAAGATTTACGTAAAATGGGCTATAAAAAGCATTACGGCTGTAAGGAAATGAATAAAGAAAATAATGACGCAACGCCATGGGTGAATGAAGATTTCAAATTGCCGGAGTCAGATGAATTGTTTAATGACTTGGGTATATGGTGGTAAAAATTAAATGAATAATAAAAAAATCGTCTTATTCTATGATTTATTATTTTGAGGGTGTCAAAGTAAAATTATGCTTTCTAATTTGGGGTTTTGGATTCAAAGATATTAAACATATGTTGAATCCGCAAATATTAAAAATACTATCCAGATGTTAAATAATTGTATTACGAGCAGTGTTTTGAGATTTGGATCAGGTGGCATTATAAACGATGGATGTTCCTTTTCGACGATGAAATAAATTGAAATGAGTATTCCTAAATATTTTTATGAAATTCACTTTTCTAATATACAGCCCGTATTACTGGACAGTTCAAGATTTTGTTCAAGAGAAATACACTTCAAAGTTCTTTTTATTTACAATTATATTTCACTAAATGTAGGATTACTTACAATTTATTTTTGATAATACTTTCGACTACTACTCGCATATTCTTTTTCTACTACTTTGTCTTTTACAAATACTCTATTTATATACATTTTTACCATCACATTACTAATACCTAATTTTATGACTTGATTTTTAATTCGTTAACCTGCTTTTCGGCCTGCAGCTGCATGACGCCTCGCAAATGTGCATTTGGTTTCTTTTTTCTTTAAGAAATTTATTATTTGGAAAAGTGACTTAGCTGGAATCAACTAGATTTGGGATTTCCATAACAATATATATAAAGCTAGAGGTATGCTTAAAGCGTGTTCGCATTTCTTTAGTTTAACGCAATTTTTGAGATATTTTATTGAAACTGTTTACACCCACATACTTTCGTCGAAGGTTGAACGCTATTGAAAGAGGTTCGGATCGGACCATTCTTTATATAAAAACTTATTCTGAAAGGTTATATGAATATCTGAAGTCGTAGGATATTTAAAGATCGACTTTGGCTGAATGTTCTTATTTGTTCCTTTTTTCACTTCATAATCGCATAAATAGGTAATGAATTGACATAACAACAGAACCAAAAAACAGCAAAAATATCTATTGATGGATATAACGACCAACGCTTGTGGTGGCTTTATAAACATACAAATATTTGCATGTGCGTCAGGAAATTTGTGTGTCTATATATTCATCGATGACAATTATTGTTCTTCTGGAAATGGTTTGTCGAGAATTGAGCTTAAGGTTTATAAAAAAGTTTGTTTTGATAGCGTAAAGTTTTTTTTCGCAAGATTGTAACATAAAACGAACATACCGCACGTGCTTAATATAAAATGTGTGCGCACATTGGTGTTGGTACGTTGTATTGCTTATTTGTGTGACATTTCACATATTAGTTTGGAAAAAGAAATCCATTATTTTTATATGAACTTCAGGACTTTATTTAACATGCTTCGGATTGTCCGATTTGGGTGAAATATGCACCGTTTTGTTGTACGATTTGTTGCCATTTTAAAGGTAACTTCAAAATGCCTCTCTCATAGAAGTCCTGGTCTCTATTTGCAAAAAACTCTAGTAGTCGATTTTCACAATCCTCCCTAGATTCCAATTTTTTACCATTAAAGAAATTTTGCATTGCAAGAAAAAGATGATAATCGCTTAGTGCCAAGTCCGGACTGTATGACGGATGCATTAAAACTTCCCAACCAAGCTCCCGAAGTTCCTGGCGAGTCACAGTAGATGTGTGTGGCCTAGCGTTGTCCTGGTGGAACACGACACCTCTCCTGTTGTCCAATTCTGGCCGTTTCTGGTCAATCGCTAGCTTCAAACGGTCCAGTTGTTGACAGTAGAGATCACAATTTAGCGTTTGGCCATATGGAAGCAACTCATAATGAAGTCCTACCAGTCCCAGTCCCACCAAATGCATAGCAAAACCTTCCTGGCCGTTTGAGGTGCTTCACCGCTCTTTGACCACGATCGTTTTCGCACAGAGTTATCGTATGTGATCCATTTCTCATCTCCAGTAACCATCCGTTTAAGAAATGGGTCTATCTCATTCCGTTTGGCCAAGGCTTCGCAAATGGAAATTCGATCCATCATGTTTTTTTCTGTTAATTGGTGTGGCACCCAAACATCGAGCTTCTTTTTGAATCCAGCTTTGTGTAAATGGTTTAAAACTGTTTTATGGTCGATTTTTAGCTCCTGGGCGATGTTACGACTGCTAACATGCCGGTCAACTTCGATCATTTCTCCGATTTTATCGACATTTTCGACGACCGGCCTACCTGTGCCAGGTGCATCTTTAACATCAAAAATTCCTGAACGGAATCTACGAAACCAAAATTGCACATAATTGGCTGTTACAGTTTCGGAACCTTAAACACCATTCACAATTTTAGCCGCCTGGCTTGCATTTTCGCCTTTGTCAAAGAAAAACTGTAAAATGTACCGAATTTTCTCTTTGTCCACTTCCATTTTTAACACGCTGTAACTCACAACTGAATGCACCAAACAAAAAACAGCAAAAGAATTTTTTTACTGCGAAATGTCACCTTTCCAACGAGCATAAATATGAAATTGTTTGATCGATACTTTACGAGAAATCTATCAGTGCAGCCATCTACCGAAAAAATAATGGATGTCTTTTTCCCCAAACTAATATAAACGAATTTAATATTGCTTACGTTTTGTAAAAACGAAAGTCTAAGCAAAAGTCTTAAGAACATCTAAACCACATCATCTTTCATTTAGTAACCATTTTAAGACCTCCTTACATTTATATTTTGCTATAAGAATACAAACTTACCGGTAGCATGGCGTATAATTTACATTTATGCAGGATCGATTGGGACATTAGCGTTTGGAGGTATATATGTAATAAAAGGTGGTTATTAGTACAATTTTAAAAATGATCAGCTTTACGACGCTATGAAGGCAGTTACATCTATGAGCGGTGGAACAAACTACATTAACTGACTCCCGGCGGAACAAAAGCATAACGTGTACCTGATGCGAAGCGTTAGCAAAACTGAATAAAATTTCAAAACTTTTCTTTTTTTTTCTAATATAACCGAGCAACGAAGGGATGTTTAACACGTTGTTGAAAAAAGGGTAAAAGGGCAAAAAGATAAGGAAGCAGTGGCCAAAGCCTAGTGAACGTGCATACAATTGATAAGTGTTGTACCTTTATCGAGCGAACAATCACTTTAGCTACGACCAAAGTAAATTCTACCGCGCATAAATTCATCTTATTTTTCAAAAACTATTATATGTTTTTAGCCTCAAATGAATCCTCTAAGGAAAATCAATTAATCTGGAAATGCCTAAATACAAAGGCATTCGCATTCATCAAACATTGCCCGTTTCGTGTATCACTTATTCCAACCCGTCGTACACGGCCTGGGTGAATAGTACTTGCGTTCTTACGACGATTCCAAAAAGTACGTCGACTCTTGGATAGCCCAAAATGACGTTTTTCGACGTGGATTTCAAATGCATTCAGAAGGATGCATCTAGCGTGGACAATACTTTTTAGATTCATTGTTGCAGTTAGTCAATGCATTGATGAGTTTCAAGTAGAGATTTACCAATATGCATAAGGACGGGCGGGATTATTTTAGTAGCAGCCTAATTTTACTATCGATAGGCTCTCTAATAAAATCTCGGGATTAAGCCGATTCGCGAGTTACGCCAACGTGCTATAACTCCAACATTGAAAAAATATATTTTAACTGAGTAATACATATTTTAAGTAAGTAAAGTGAGTAAAATATATTTTAACAGACCTTATTCAACCGCGAAACTCGTTCGATAGATACTAAAATTGTCACGCAAAACTTTCTCTTGCCAAAGAGCATCGATCGTAAGGAAAACTATATTTAAATACAAGAGTTTCCAGGACAATCATATACAATGTGGTGTAAAGAAAAAGGAGATAGCTACCTTTCGCTCGAGAAGTACATTCTTCACTGACGTTCTGCAGTACTTGCGTGGCTATCGAACATGTAGAAGACGAGTTAAAACGTTGTAGCGTGTTCATTGTTCTGGTGTAAAAATGAATCTCATTTAAGCATTTAATACTATTTTTATTTGTTAAACGATTTAAGTGATAAAATGAGTGTTTATTCTCATGTAGCAGAGCCCATGAGCAGCATAAGCCCTCTAAGGATGATCAGAAAAACATAAATGATCATTAACATGTTGAGCAGTTGAAATTTGTGAAAAGTATTAACGTAACATTGCATGAATTCGTCGAAGATAAAAAAAATCCTCATTAAATTTAAGCTGAATGAAATTGTATACCTTTAAACCACCAATCCATCGTATTTTGACCGAATATTTGATCTTTCGAAAGGCGTGTTCGACCAACTAACTGATGATCACCGATTTTCTAATCAATAGTTACAATTTACCTATTAAGCGTTCTCCGCATTCACTTCCAGGTCGAAAAAATGTAATTGCCGAAAAATTAAAAGTTTAATATCACCTTTTGCACGGATAAAAGACACACATAACTCCTTGCAATACTTTACTTCAGCTTGGACGCTTGACAAGAACCTCAGCGGAGAATGTCGCTCTTCCAGTGAGACAAAGCATCAATAGATAGCGCCACTACAATGTGCTATTTTGAAAGTTTGTTTTTTCTTTTTATAAAGTGTTTTATAAAATATATCACAACAAATGGATTGTAAATTTGTATCAGCTTAATAAGGCCCGTCATGCATTTTAATAAAGCAGTAATTACCGTTGATTCAATACTGGGTATAAATTTATTGTTTATATGTCAAATCAATAATTGGGATCAAAAAATTCTTTAGTCGAATAAAAGGCAGGGTAGTTAGAATTGCGACACCTTTTATCATTAATGCCGGGATATTTCGGGTATTCCGATCAATAATTAATGCAGTAAAATGACCTTGGTTTTCGCTGTGGATTTGATTAAGTAAATTTATAAGCGTCTCTTTATGTTTATAAACTGCCAATAAAGAAAATATCAAAAACACAAAAAAAAATTTTTTTGAATCAATCGTAAACATTTGCATTATCTCTTTCAAAACTTGGCCGCAGTAAGAAAATGGGAATTGTGTTTCGGGGAAAATCGCATTTAAATTTCCATTTACTGCCA